AAAATGCTTGAATTCTGATACATTTATTGACGACAAGCTTTGTTCAATTTTTATTAGCATTTTTGAAGCATGTTATGATGCAGAGTTTGATTGATATGTGCTGCATTTTTGCTGGTATTATCTGTTACAGAAGCTCATGCTGGATTGCTGTTCGATTTTTGCCGCCATAACGTGTAGCATAACTTCGCAATTTGTGCTTTTGGCATGTTTTGCTATCTGGGTATGGACTGCCAGTGGCTAACTTCACACTTGTTCACTTGTTGTTAAAAAGAGGCCACATCACTAACTAAGAACCAAATAGGTATAGTCTATGCACACTTGGAAAACAACGTGCTTCTCGTGCTTTTCCTGTTTTTTGTGTTTCTTGTGCTTTTCATCATCTTTATTAAAAATTAATATTACAGTATTATGCTGACTTATTCTTTTGTGAGGAATTGTAGTAGTACACTGTATAAATAAAGAGCAGCCAGTAGGTAACCTCATAACCTTCTTTAGATACATCAGAAATTAACTTAAATTAATATGAACTTAATACGAACAAAACCAAATTTATTTCGATTTATTTAATTGTAAATTAAAAATAGACATAATATAAAATAGTAAATCGATAAATAAATAATTGGACTATATGAGCCAAATAACGAAGGCTAATGATATATTTGAAATTACCAAACTTTATACAATAACTTTAAACAATAACAAATAATAAACATACATTTCGATCTTTAATGCGGTCTTCTTCAGTGTTTTAAAAAAACGACGGGTTGTTCACACAACGAAATTAAAATGTTGAGTGCCTTACAGTTGTCTAATTAATGCAAAAGTCATAGTCCTAATTGTTGTAGCAGAATTCCGAGATGCACTCCATTTGAACATTGTATCTTGACTAGGTGTGACCAGTAATAAAAGAATCTGAACAATATAAAGAAAAATAATATCTAAGGTTAAAATTTAAAATTTAAGGATGTAAGAAAGAATCTAAGCAAAAGGTAGAATAATAATCAAGCTATTAAAAAACTAATGTATGTCCTATTATAAAAAACATGTATAATTGAAATAAGTTAAAGTTAAAGACAATGCGAGTAAATTCTGTGTAAATTTTAAAATGTAAATTGTAAAATTCATCTAAATTGTAAAATATGAGGCTTGAAGTAAAGAGTGATCATATCTGGTCAGGCAGGAATACAGATTGAAACAGTTATTGGTAATATTAAAGAGGTTACAAGCTTCTCTTAGGAGTGCGATAGAACATATAAACCGAGATCCAAGATGATTAATTAAGAAAGGAGTAAAGAAAGGAGGAGGGGACAGAAACCAAGGAGGGAGGGGAAATAGAATAAGGGTAGGAATGGAAGGGAAAATATCGAAAGGAGGCAATTATGAACAACGGAGGGAGTTAAAAATAGGGTGATACATCTCAGGGAGTAATTCAATGTCGCTCTGTTTGTTTAAGCTTTGCTCTTGTTTTTTGATGTGCAATATTTCATTCTTAGGTTATTGTTTAAAGTTATTGTATATAGTTTGGTAATTTCAAATATATCGTTAGCCTCCGTTATCTGGCTTGACTCATATAATCCAATTATTTATTTATCGATTTATTATCTTTCGAGCCTCTAGCATAACTAATTATATAAAATAATATTTGATAAAAATACAATTTAATAAACATAGCTGATTTGAATTTCGCGCGGATTCTGATTAACCAAAATCCGTTGTACTGGCAATATTGTTCGCTCAATAGTGCTATAAGATATGCAGCCTACTGGCAATTCATACTTATATAATCAAAGATGTATAGAGTGTTGCATCAACATATTAGGCAGTACGTCGGGTTGCGTGACAGATTTTGTAGGGGCAGGCGCGGTTCAATAGGTAATGATAACATATACATGTACATGTATATCATTACCGAACGAGTGGATGGCACGCCTTTATATCAATAAAATTTACATCATTCCAATTGTGACTTGGATAATAAGTTTTTTTAAATCCACTATAATTGGAATAAATGCAAACTTTATCGATATAAAGGTGATCCATTCGCTCGGTAAGTTATGATGGTACACATATATGCTGTCATTACCTATTGAATCGCGCTTGCCCTTGCAAAATCTGTCACGCAACCCGACGTACTGCCTAATATGTTGGTGCAATACCCTGTACAATGAGGAGCATAAATAAGGTTCTTTTTCGGTGTAACTAGGAGTAGCGACACTACAAACAGAGACTGGCCACTTTTTATTGGTCTGCCATCTTTTGGCTATTCCACTTATTTTCAAATACATTAACTACATTAATCTTAAATTGTAATATTATAATTTAAAAACATAAGCATTTTAAAAATAATAAAATGTGCATATTTATAAAATTTTATTTTACATAATTATATTACCAATTTATTAATATATTGTTATGACCGAGCGGTGTTCTGCTCGACGCTACCCTCATATCGATTTCCATCCTGAAGATCGTTCTGAAGTTCGTTCGCTTGACGTTGTCAAGCGGTTGTCAAGCGTTATTGTGGAGAGAGTCGACGACGCGATGCGCGAGTTTGAGCCGTGTCGCGGTGAATTCTGATTTTATTGTGAAAGCTATTATTATTGCTCCTGTGCTTCAATGTATAATAAAGTTTGTGTTTCTTTCCTAAACTGTTCTTCCTTTCCAGGCGCGAGTGTAAGGCGAGAAATCGCCGCGGAAGCGCGACATTTTTGGGGGCTCGTCCGGGATCGGCACATGGCGGAGCGTCAAGCGGAATTGACGGAGAAGGATTTAGCGACAGGAGTAAAACAAGAAGGAGCATCAGGGAGACGGGGGATTGTCTCGGCCAGAAAGAGAGCTTGCACGCGTGCAGAGGAATCGGAAATGACTCCGAGTCTGGAGATGGTCCTTCGCCTATGACTATGGAAGAGCTTTGCCTTCTTAGAGAGGAGCGAGCGGAGCGGCGACGCGGAGCGAAAGAGCAGGGAGGATCGATGCGGCAGTTCGAGGAGCATGAACTATCCATACCCGGCCAGTCAAATCCAATTTTAAATCTCGGTTTAAAATTAAAGCCATTGTTGTAGCCAGATCTACAATCAATAATAAAATAACAACTAATAATAAAAGTAGTCCGCATGGCAACAAAATTAGATCGCATGAATCTCGAAAAGTCTTTCGAAAGACGACACAAATGTGTGACCGCCGAAATTGACCAGTCTTTCGAAAGACCGCAGAAATGCATCACGCGAGAACATTGCGAAAAAGCCTATCAGCAAATTCCTAAATTTGATGATCAAACCGAGCGTAATATTGATTAATCAATATCACGCAACCGATCGACGCAATCGATCAGAATGCTGATCGGATATCGATCAGACTATATAACCGGTTACACAAGGCGGAATCGGGAGAGTCAAGAGTCAAGAATAACGTGTCGTTCGGAATCATTATTATAATTATCGCGCAAGATATTACAAGAGCGCGGCGAAGTTCACGCGAGCCGTACTATCAGCGTCTCAGGTGACATACTCGGTCGTCAGCCGCCAGAGTAACGCGATACGCGCCGAGCCGCCCGCCGACGTTTAACCGTGTGTAAAGAAATAAAATAAGAAATACTAAACTCAAGAATTTGTGCATTTATTAAATCAATTAAAATAAAGAAAGTGTGTTAGTGAATTCAAGAAGATTTCCTTCCATTCTTTTGATCCTGCTCGGAGTCCCAACTCCTTAGGTTTAACGAACCCGACTATCTCTAATATTATCATTGTAGCCCATCCGGGGTACAACACCATATATGACAGAAGTGTTCCTTTGCGAAAATTTTTATCTCAGTTTGAATTGATTGCTCGGGCAAATAGATGGAGAAATTCGGAGAAAGTGATCGTATTGGCTTCTTGTTTAAGAGAGAAGGCGCGTTCAGTTAGAGGAGGGAACGAAATTGGAAAATTCGCAATATAGCGAATTAGTCTCAAGATTAGAATTACGTTTTGGGGAAAAACTTTCGGCACAAAATTATTACATGCAGTTTATAAGTCGAAAGCAGAAATTCGAAGAAGATTTGACTGCGCTTGGCTTGGACTTGGAGCGTTTGTCTCATTTAGCTTATCCGGAATGCTCGCCTGGCGTACAAGATAAAATTGCGTGCGCAATTTATTGTCGCGTTGGCAGATGGTTTTATTAAAGACCTTTCAAATGGAACGGCATAAATCTTTAAGAATCGTCATGGAAAGAGCCATGACGTTAAAAATTATTAAAGAAAATAGCTTTCCTAAATTTCAGGAGAGGAACCGAAAGAGACGAATTAATTTTGAGGTCGGACGCGAACAGAATTTTTTAAATGAAAGAGAAATTAACGCGCGTGATTATAAATAAAATCATGGGAAATTCAATAACTTTAAGGGAAAATAAAAGGAAACTTCCGATCTTAAGAGAATCCAACGAATGCTGGCAATGTGGAGCTAAAGTACATTTCCGATCGGAGTGCCCTTCATTAGTTAATTCAAGGAAGGGAAACTTGGACTCGCCGAGCTTTGCAGCGGTGTAACACAGAGCTCGGCGCGGAAATGTAATACTGCAAGGAGAAGGAATTTTTTTCGAGAATTTAAATGGGAAATCAGGAAATTTTTGTTTTCAAGGAAGGTTAGACAATCAAAATTGTGTTTTCAAAATTGACACGGACTCAGATGTTTCGATTTTAAATAAAAAAATTGGTTAGGTCGGGAAGGCAACAGTTTTGGATAGGGAATAGAAAATTGAGATATCCAACTGAGGACAAGAAATTCCCATTGATTTTAAAACAAATGTTAAAAACTGATCATGTTTCTCTCCATTGGTTAATATCTTTTAGGGAATTAGAAAATCAGTTGGCCCGCTGATTGGAACATCTTCAACAATATAATTTCGAAAATTCTCATCGAGCAGGGAAATCGCATGGGATCGCTGATAGATTATCAAGACACCCTGGAAAGTGACTGCAATTATTGCGCCAGAATAGAAAGAAAAGAGGAGGAAAACAAAAGGGAATATTTAGGAAGGATAGTTTAAAGGGAAGAGAATAATCAAAGGATTGATGGGCAGCGCATTCACAGAGAGAAGATTCTTCGATTGTTGAAATTCTTTGGAATAAGGAAATAGATAGACGCCCTCTTCGACATGAGATTATTTCCGGAAATACTTCTTTATTGGTCTCAATGGGATTCTTTGGTTATTAAGGATGGAATTCTTTGTAGGAGATGGAAGTTTCCTGATTTGAAAACTTATTTTTTCAAATTGTTGTTCCTCATAAAATGATGCAACAGGTTTTGAAAGAGGCTCATGATTCTCCTACAGGAAGATATTTTGGAATTAATAAAACTCTTTAAAAAATTCAGAAGCGTTTCTTTTGGGTGATATGTAAACAAGATGTAGAATTGGGTTAGGACCTGTAAAGTTTATGTAGCTAAAAAAAAGTCCTGCTGAAAAGGAAAAATCTGCTTTTCAGATTTATGTGCTTTCTT